ATTGCAGCATATATATTTTTGTAATATCTTGATATACAGGTAACGTTTTGGAACATCATAATAAAAAAGAACAATATATGCGAGATTATTAACCCTTCCCCATTTTTTCAAGAGACGGGCATTCATGTCAAAAACAAAATATTTTCCTACAAGAAAAACAACAACACTTTGCTTTATAGTTAAATCGATGTATAGGAAACCAAAGTCAATTTGTATTGTAGTGACAAGGCAGACACATATGTAGTGTCTGGAATATATGATGTCGTCTGACACTGTTGCGAGAACCTTGATTCCCGATAACATGTTCTATAGAGTCAGACGCCTGGACCACTAATGATGGGATGATACCACGACTGCCATATAAATATCTAGCTGTCACTAGCAACACTTTTTGCTATATCCATAAAACATGAATACAATATCCGGAAAATACCCTAGACATAGACACATGCCGCGAATCTGCACGTCTGGGTTCTGTCGATCTATAATTTCAAGAGGAGAATATAAATGTAATTGACTCCTTGCATTTAAATGAACTTATGCTTTTTTATGGATAAGTTGGAACAAAAGACCATGCATTGTTTCATTGCCTTTAATATTATCATATCACCGGTTCTGATGCCGATTGTATCAATCAACCTCATCAGCACAGTATTCTGTATTCAGTTTATATACGGAAAACGGTTTCGAAGTGTTAAAAATGTAGTTGCAATGCCCTGCTAAACGTTATTAAATTAGTTTTGTGCCCTTTACGTGGGAACAAAAATGCAACAATGTAAAAGGAATACACACGACGGACGAAGACGGATACAAATCTTCGAAAAACTTCTTTTGAATAGCCAAAAGGCACAAGATTAGGAGATTGATCAGTATCATGCTCAAATGATTGACTGATTCACTTTCAAGGTCCCTGTAGGATGCCGGGATAAAAGACTGCAAAATTTCTTCAAATGAATTACCTATGCCGACTTTCAATGTAAAAGGGGTCAAATGTGTCAATAGTTTCTTCTAAATATACAGACGGCACAAATAAATAACCTTTGCCAGCCTTCACGGTCACAGGGAAGACATATTTAATAAGTTATTAATATTATTATTAAATGCTTAACCGCCCATCAACACAGGATAGGCCATTAAATCCAACAATTGGGCGAAAAAACCCCAATGCAAAATAAAAACATCAAACAAATTTAAACGTTAAAAAACAAACGTCAATTTGAATACTGAAACTTGCTGTGATGACTCAAATTTTATTGAAAAGTCCAACAGCTTTCAGATTGAAAATTGAAGAGACATTTATGTTTTCGAAAAGTGATTTAAGACATGTAATGTTATCGTAGAAATTTTCTCGAGTTGATTTAAGTCAAGATTTTATTCTTTATTACATCAAGATAGTTGGCCTGTTGCTTAGTATAACCCATTTTAATATGTTTGCGCTTGGTCCTCTTTAAAGGTTTTGGTGTGGTATTAATACCAGGTGAGCAATTTAGGCCCATTGGGTCTCTTTCCAAAACGAAATCCGTAATAGATCAACAGGAATTCATGTCGCTATCGGCCTCCGTATGTTTCCATGACGTTTTACTGTCGCCATGCCGAAGACACCCCTCATTGTATTCCACGCAGTTACATTATACTGACAACGAGTGTTGCGATATTTGGTTTGGTTTGGTTTACTATTGTATAACGTCTGTCTTATCAACAGCTATGGTCATTTAAGGACGGTCTCCCCTGTTTGCAAGATGCATGCGTGTAGCGTATACGTGTGTGCTTGTCTCCTTGTGATAGCGCGGAACTGATGCTGACTTTATAGTGCTACCTCACTGAAACATACTGCCGAAGACACCAAGCAGGACACCCCACCCGGTCACATTATACTGACAACGAGCGAAGCAGTCGATCCACTCCTAAATCCCTGAAAGTAAAGCAGTAGTAAAAACTACCATTTTGACAGACTCTGGTATGTCTCGGCCAGGGGACAGAACCCAAAGCCTTCCTCACAGAGGCAAACGCTCAACTAACGGCCAAAAGTGAGGCATTGTCAAGGGAGACCCTAGGAAGAAGAAAAATAATTAGAAAGAAGAGAAAAGATAAGATCCCAAAGAGTAACTATCGTGTCTTCAACTGTGTGAAATCAACTAAATATTCCCTTGTGACAATCACAACTTTCAAATATAAATGAAGACAAGGTAGAGTAAAATAACGTGCACGATTTAACAAGGAATCTAACCAAAAACTTATTTGAAAAAAGGACAACAAAATTGTGTTAATTGGTTTCATTACATGCGGAAAAGAAATGAAACATGCACAGGAAATGATAACTCGATTACTTTATAACGTCCGGATAATTAAGGTAAACAGCACTTGTCCACATACATAGGTGTACTCCTAGCGAATTGAATAGGAATTTTGAATTTAACTCTTTCCGTACCGGAATGCCAAACTGTACTCACCTCCGCACATAATAAAAAATATAATAAAATGGCGAATTTGCTATGTATTTTATATATAGACAATGTGTAACCGCCGCTAAAAATAAATAGGTAACCTTAATCCAATGTTGTTATTTAAGGAATGATTTTTATTTTTTCAACATTTATGAGGTCATAACAACAATGAGTTTATGGACATATTGAATGAATCGCGTTAGCGATTCATGTAAAATATGTCCAAAAACCCATTGTTGTTATGACCTCATAAATGTTGAAAAAATAAATATCATTCCTTATATTTACATTGACGAATCCTTTCAGTGGATCGATATAACAACGAATAAAACAAATAAACAGGGTTTGTTCCTGCTTATACACGGGTGCAACGCAGTGGCGAGAACAGTGTTTTTTCGCGGGGAAATGTGACACTATCGTGAGAGATCTTAGCAACCGTCAACAACAATAACACAACAAAATGTAGTTCCATATTCAATGTTTATTTGTAGCACAGGACACGTGAATACGTGGATATTTCACAAAGCACAGTTCAATAATATTTTAAGATGTAAGAATTAAGCATCTAGGTCGGTCGTTCCGAGTGAGTAGTTTTTGTAGTGTATTACTACGCAGTGTGATCAGGTTACTATCAGTTCCCACGTGCTGAGATTCTATGAACACCTGTGTTATGCATTTATGAATGTATTTTTTGTCAATGGGTCTAAGCATACAGAATGTAAATATTGTTTCTTGTCGTTCTTCATAGACAAACACGTCTTCATTTTCGCAGCATTATGACTAACTGGCAGCTGATTATGACAGATAAATCGACAACGAATGATCCGATTCTTTTCAATCAGAACAGCATTGTTGTGCGGGTCCCTAACGGGGATTGAATTTGGTAACTTGGTCGTTTAGTTTCTCTAAATACAAGTACGTTTGATCGTGACTTATATTGAAATGTTCATGAGCCCCACTGGATTAACAACTAAGACACGTCAAGTTTGTTCCTGTGGGAATGAGAAACGACTCACTTTTAACGTTAAAAGTGAATGTTCTTTACTACGTTAGGCAGTTTAACCAATACTTAAGACATGTATGGAAACAATGCAATAGACACACAACGGAACACAATGGTAGTGTGATTACAGTAATTCAACACAGAGACGAACTGTTTAGTTCCTTTTTCTCATTTATATTAACTTAGTATGGTAAACATGAGGCTTGTTTGTTGACCAGGTTCGTGTTATTTATCGTCAATATATCTGTAAAGCTAAAGGTGAAATTGAAGGACTAAGTAAGTTGTTTGATGTCAGTCCTGACAAGTTCCCAGATAAACTACAGCGTCGTGTAACAAGAAGTCAGCCAACAGAGGGGCCGAGTTTGTTCCTGTGGGAATGAAAAAAATATACCCCGCTTCGAGCCGACCATAGTTGCAAAACCATAAATGGCCATTTACGGTGAAAACTCCTCAAAAGCCAAAGTCATTGCAAATAAATGTATGTCACCAGTGTCCGTTATTAGATTATTCAGTTTTTGTTGAAAATTTAAACCTTTCTGTACTGTAACTGCCAAACATTAGGAGACATGGACAATTTGATTTTGGTTTATTTTATTTACCGTCATCACAGCTAAGGTATTTTAAGGACATGTCTCCTTCTGTATAATGTATGTTTGATAGAGGCAGGGTATGTTGATATATTGCCTCTTTGCAATAACGCGGATCCAGCCTCAGATCTCTACCTCACAAGGGTTTAATCAGTTGTTTCCATTTCTTTTCAAGGTGATGCTCAGAAATACGTTATAACGCGAAAACTCACGTAATAACGTGAAAGTAAAGCTCGTAATAACGTAAAATAAACACGTTAAATCGCCAAATAACACGTTATTACACGAGCGTAAAAGTCGTCCCTTTCAACGCATTTATATGATATAAATTGTATAAAGAAGCCAAGTCGAACTCTATACACACTATCATTTTTAACAGTTTGAGTTGAATTGACACATGATGGATACAGATAGACGCCGGTTAATGACATTATGTTTTAATTGCTTGCTTATTTCAAATATTAAAATAACTATGGGGGGCAGATCGATTGGGGTTTCTTCAATGTTACCTTATCAGTAGATACAGGGGGCCATATTACTCGCCGTTTGACGATATATGTTGGGATAAAGTAGGCCTATTCTTTCCCCGAATTTGCAGGGGAGACCTGGAAAATATTGTCGACAGACATAAGGACAAACATAAGCACCTACCTTCCTTTATCCTGTATATAATTTCAGAATAATAATTAAGATTTGGTTATCCCTATCCGACTCTGGAACTGAGATTGAAATAAGATATCAATACTAAATCCCCAAATAAAATATGGTGTGTTTATAAAGATGTGGTCGGATTATATTCAATTGATGTTCATGAAGTCAATAAAGGAATAGTTTGACATTTCAAATGTTAATTGATGTTTGCCTGCCCAAGATTGCAACCTTACCTATGAAAGACTGTTACAATTTCTTTTGCGGTCGAAGTCTGAACTTAAAACAAGAAAGTAAGCAATCATACACTGTACTTACCAAAGATGCAGAACGCAGAAACGATTGCGTAACACACAATGAACGCTATCCGGATGTATAGGAAGTCGAACGGCGAGCTAAACTCCGCTCCCCGAGTGAAATTTAAACCATAAAATGTTCCATTTTCATCACTTTCGTTGGAAAAGAAGTTCATCATTAGCAATTTAACGGTAAAAATTGTTCACTGAAGTTTAATGTACACCCATCACAGTGACAGCATATGTTATGTAGCAGATATAGTTTTTCACAAAATACAATCCGATTCATTAATATCAATACCAGCACAAGAAATACTCATATGTGACATACAGCACATAACTGTACCTGACCTGAGGGAACAATTAATAAATGTAATCCAAGGGAAAGTCCCGCGATAAGTACAGACTAGTTTGTAGAACGGATAACGGTTGATCAATTGGCTCTATAATGTACTTTGTCAGCGATACAATGAGGCATTGGCATAACTGTATGATTGCGGCCCCAGCTGGATACGGTCACAGCAGCAGGCGTACCAAAACACTAGTAGCGCGACGCAGCAACAAAATATAATGAAGCTGACCTAGACTAGGTGTGAAATGTGCTGCCAATATTGCCACGTGACCGAAAAGGTTATCTTCTGAGAGGGGGAAAACCTTTTAAAGGTTATTTCAATTTGTATAAGTAATTCATCCTACAATAACAGTGTCTTGGGATAAAGCGCAAATACCAACGCAACTTTGGCAATTTTATCACAACTTATAATTGATCATGAGGTAACTACATACATGTTACATGCCAGAAAACTCTGGAAGATTTCAATTATATTGTGCAACATATTATATTATGTATCATTAAATCCATGCAATCATAGTGTGAGTGGTTAATATGGCACTGTGTGAAGTGACAGTGACTTTGAGGTGCCCTTACCGATTCACCCCGTTAAAATCTCTGATATTACACACATGTATGTATAATACTGGCTATTTGGTTCGGCCTACCGTAAATGGTTTCTACCTAACCTTACTGTATGCTTCTTCTATTTTCATACTTTATATGTTTAAAATGTATGTATTTCTATTTAGAACGGACTTTTATAGCATGCCTGTGCCCGATCCAATTGTTGATTCCAACAATAAAATAATTCTAAAACACGCCAGAAAACATAACCAAGGGTTTGATTTACATAAACGTGTCTTGTTTCGAATTTTTTCTGTTTGGTTTAGCATCCTTTAGAAGCTTAAGTATAGCCTTCATTGTTAAAATGTGTCCTATAGGCAGTGTGTTGGGTATATTGAACTCCTTCCCGAAGTGCAGATCAGATGACAGTTTGGAGTGCTATCTCGGAATAACAACTTTTCTTATTAAGGAGTTTGGAGGTACATTTACCAACACACCACCTCCTGCACACAAACACATTTCACGCATACATTACACAATTAAAGGTTCGTCCAAAACATTTAACCTTAGTTGTTTATAGGACTCTGAACTCTACCAATTTCAGGTCTTGTCCGTATTTTTTTTTTCTTATTTTTTTTTGTCGGAATCATCCTTGATGAAATAGGGTATCAAATTGTAATATTGTGATTTCTTCTCCAACCGTACGGTCCAGGGCGAGGCTCCAAATTAGGCAATATCTAACAAACTGTAAAATGTACTACAATCAAATTATCTGCATGGATAGAAAGATTATCAAGGGCTTTATCTAAATTGTAAAGTTCATGAAGGAAATAAAACGTTTGGGTATACTATGGGGAAAATGGAGAAAAGTTCAAAATATTTTTCTTACGGGTCTGAAGTACATGGACACAATCAAATACTTGTCATGTATAGAAAAGACCGTACGTGCTTTAACTTAATTGTAAATTTCTGCAACCCATAGTCCTCTGTTATCCCTTGGGGAGGGGGTACCAATTGCATGGTTTATCTTGGTCAATAACACTTTTGGTTATATTTCGTCTCAGCTCAGCAAGACATGTTTTCAAACTAGGTGGTAATAGTTATAATTAAATGACAATTAAATGGTTTGAGAAAGTAAGATCTTGCCACTAGGTTAGGAATACTTAATTAAAATGGGATGACAATTAAATGATTTGAAAAAACAGGATCCTGGCTCGCCCCAAGGGCCGGTGGGGTGGGGCCAAAAAGGGTGAAATAGCTTATATTTCAAAAATCGTCTCCCTTTGACCGAGATGTACCAGAATAAAATTTAAAAAATGCGTGGATGGCAAGGTCCGTAGGTGCATAAACCAAATTGTAACTTCAATACCACAATGTCATCTGCTCTCGCTTTGGGAAGAGTAAAGGTTACTATAGTAAAGGAAGGAAAACTTTGAAAAAAAATTCCAGCAAGAAGTTTGTTGGAATAGTTAAATGATGATAGTTAAATAGTTTTAAATCAAACAGTATCAGAAAGCAAGATTCTAACCTTCCCAAACAGGAAAGTCGGCTAAATGAAAATATATTTTATATTTCTCAATAGGAAAATTATTGATTTAAATAGTTTGAAGTTCTTTTCCTTTGAACAACAATGAAATTAAGCTACCCATGATATAACCGAGGTGACCGTTGAGGCCCTTGGGTCTCTTCTTTACCTCATTCGCACGAGGTGTTTGTGTCGGGCGACAATCATGTTTAACTGATCAGTCTCAAACTCAATTATGTTCCACTAAGGACCAGAGGAAATCAACAAATGCGACGCGGGAAAGATCGGCGGAGTATTTTCTGATAAAAATATCAATAACCATTTCGATCAGTCAAAATACAAGATTGCTGCCTGGCGTCCATCTTGTTTTTCCGATCAGTCTCGAAACGTAAACATGCATGATTAGGAATAAAAGTAAAATCTTTTAAATGAAGTTGAAGCAGATTTGTGAAATATTGAGAACTATTTATAACAAACTTTAACTTGAACAAAATGTGGTTTGACAGACGGACGGTCACCTTGTTAATCGGGTCGGTCTCAAATTCAGTCATACGCAACTACAGACCAACGCAAACATACATATGACATTTTGGATATATCCGTCTAATAGTCCTCGAGAAATAGCGATAACGAAAATGGTTTAATAATGAATCATGGGCAAATGACGATTTTTAAACAGCCCTCCATTTGATGAAATTGGGCTTAATCTTCACGAAAAAACTGTAGCATTCTTATTAATCGGCGATGATAAATGATCTTAACGTTCTCGTTATTTAAGTTAAGTCGTAATAATATCCCGGTGTTTCTGATTTTGGTTACTAACGGAAGCCAAAATGAGAGCAATTAGATTCGCGACTGTTCTATTTAACACAAACGATCATTGTCATAGCTAAGAAACAGCTGACGGCAACACGTTTGTCGTGGACCGACTCTTTATCGACGGAAACATAAAACATCAATTATGACTGTCCTAATTATTTCATCAATATCACGTTTTTGAATAACAGAAACTACTCGCTGCTCTATATCCTCAGTCAAAGACGCTCTATTGCAGGTGACCAGTGCGGGTTCAGATTAAGAATAAGCCTGCAGTATCCCACTGCATAAACGTTTAGAGGCGACTATTGTCTCCCCTTGTTTTCTGTGAACGAGACATTTGAAGACAGAGGTACAATGATAACACCTGCATCTTACAGCTGTTTCGTCTTTTTAGGACTCGTCAGTGATGTTTGGGGCTAAAAAAGGGGTATATTACTGTTGATACTGATTGAGGTGCGTAAAACCCCAGAAGTCTATGAATTTAAAAATTTCGATTGGTTGGTTGTATAGGGTGTAACGTCCAATCAACAACTAAGGTCATACTGTGAATGTGTGGCGGTATGATGGTATATTGCCTTCAAACGAAATAGGTGAAAAGGTGTAAAAAATGTAAACACAGCAATAGCAAATTGAGTGTAAATGTATTAATAGCATGTAAACTGAAGCAAATAAACTTTCCATAGACGATTCATAAGAATCTGTCACGTACTTGTCTGAAATCAGTGCTTTCGTTCATAAAATACCTGCTTCACTATAAATGATTGGTATAATGCCCTAAGCGTATAATTCTGAATAGTCAATGTCATCATTCCAGCTAGCTCCTCAGCAAATACCGGAAGAGGGTTCGCATGGCTCAGCGGGATGTTGTACAATACATAAGGAGGAGCTGTCACTGTCTCTTCATTTTCAGGCAAGGGCGATGGGTGTGGGTGATTTCCGTTTCTTCGACACATGAATTAAATAAGAAGTTCTGCTTGAAAAAGTTAAATGTGATTTTATAGATCATTGAATGATTATTCTGCACATTTCGTTACAAAATGTTATGTAAAAATGTGTGTACAATGCCTGGATGTGACTCAGGGCGATGTTGATCTTCATGTATCCTGTAATAAGTTTGTTTTGAGAAAATAATCTTAACAGCAACGATGACTTAGAAAATACAGCTTTTGTACCGTTTATACTGCTCTGAATTACTTGCAGACAAGCTTCCATTTTTAGCCCCCTTTAGGTCGGGTTCGGGAAAAGAATATATTCCGCTGTTACCCAATGCATGTATCGTTAGAGGCGACTGATTTTGGAACCCCCTGCAGAATTAGGTATTAGCTTATTGTGCCCTCTACTTTTGGACACTTAAAAAATTCTGCTGTACCCATTGCAATATTTGGAATCTTTATATTTCTTTTTCTTCAAATAACCTTATATTTCCTGGCGCCTTGCATGGCAACACCTCACTTGATAATGGTAGTTGGTATTCCCTGATTAACGTGCAGCGTTTAGGATTCTGGTACCAGGAGTAATGCTGTGCTGGGTGCCTTCGGCATGGTATTGCAGTGAGATGGTGTAGCACTACAAAGTCAACATCAGTTTCGCGCTATCACAAGGAAGCAATTACCCTGACATACCCTGTCTCCGACACACGAACACGATCATACAACACACGCAACAGGCACGTCCTTCAATGACCTGAGCTGTTTATAGAACGTTAAACAGATTAAAACCAAACCAAAACCAATTTTGTTTCCTCCTTTTCAATTTTAAGGTAATCATCAGACGATACTTGATACAATTTTCTTATCATCATCCTTCGGGAAACTTGAA